GACAAAGATGGAACGGTTTAGAAATCCGAAAGAACGATTAGAAGGGATTGTGTAATTACGAACGAGCAAATAGAGTGGAAAAAACACGTAGATTTAACGAGACATGCAATAATTTATTGCTTCTACTGAAAAAAAAGTGAAAAAAGAGTTGGAGAGGATACATTTGAATAATATTACGAAGGGTTGAAAATAAGAATAATAATCATCGTTATACGTGGGAATTGTTCGCCTTTCAACTACGACGGATGACGATACGGATCGTGAAAATGAAAGCATTCCTCGATTAACTTATAGAAATCGAAAAATATCCTTTACGCGATGGGACGAAGCCATTATTTATCAGAGACGATACACAAGCAAGAGCTTCGAATCATTTGTAACAATTTAGATTATAAATAGAGGGAAATGTCAAGACGTATGAAATTGTATGAATTGTATTGTATATATTTCTGTGTGTTCTATCGGTAAACTATCGTCGCTGTATATTTTCCTCGAACGTTAATTCGATACAATAATTTCACGGATTCTATTAAATTTTTTGTTTATACGTTGAATTTACGTATTCTATATATATATATAATATATATATATATTTTACACAAATTTCTCTTACGTAAATTTTTAGAAAGAATAAAATTCGCGCGCGTATATTCGTAGCTGCCGTAAAGCGAACGCCGAACCGTAATGTTCTTTGACAGGTACATCGTACGAAGAAGCGTTCGAAGAATAAGAGAATCTACGATCTCTCGGTTTCAACGTCTTTGGACGTTACCTATCTTCCATCTCTCTCCGTTCCATCTCTTCCATTCCGAAATACGTAAATTTCCGCGGCGTGAGAAACGTTTCGCGAAAACGTAACCTCGTGAAAGTTTTCGCGTAGCCAGGTGATCTTGGCGCGTACGTGAGAATGCGCGCAGACGAAATGCAAATGAGAGAACGAAGACGGAAAGCGAAACGGAAAGCTACCGGTCATATTTTGCGCGTTGTAAATCACAATGAATATCTTTCCCTTTTGCTTTTTGACGCTTTCGCCTTTTAGCTCAACGTCTTAAAGCGTAACCATTAATTATCGAGCAGGAATAGCAGGCGGTG